CACTCCTGAGCGGAACTTATTGATTCCATAACGTGGAAAATTAAATGCAACGGTTAATAAATAACACATAAATTGTCCCTGAAAACCTTGTCGTTCTACGTCATACACATTTATTTTTATATAAACATTTTAGGCATGCACAGTTTCTTTTTTCCGCTAGTATATATGGTAGCACGTGAAGAAACTCCATGTTTCTTGGTGTTGACAAACGGTTGTTGCAACGGTCAGTCTGCTTCTTTCTGTCCATGTATGTAGATGTGGTGTCTCGGGTTTGTGTTTGAGTGATGGACAAAGAGTTGTTTCCTCAGTTCCTGAACTTGTTTTATGTTCTGTAATCCAGGTGTGATATATGCATGTCCACGCTTATCTGCGTAAAGTATGGAAATTTAAGGGATGTTTTGAGAAATGCCAGAAATATTGTGCCAAATATGTTAAGGAAAGGGCTAGGTGTAATGCGGAACTTATCAGGGATTATATTTGACGAGTTTGTACCTTATCTTACCTGTTTTACAATGGGTAAGTTAATTATATATGAATATTGATGTGAATATTGGGTAGAGTGATCTGATGTTTTTGTGTTATTTGTGAGAGACCATTGTTTGAGGATGTGAGATTTATGATTCTCATAGGTTTGAAATTATTTTGATATATTCTCATACTACTATTAAATTTGAGAGTATTTATTTAGGAGTTTGATGTTTTATAGATTTCTGAGATAGTGAACAAGTTGAGATAGTGTGCACTTCGTGTATTATTTGTTGTCTATCTAATAAATGGCAGTGTTTGTACATGTATTTCTGTATTATAGTTGTCTCTAAAATAAACTGATAGATTTGAAACCCAGGTGCTTAGTTGGTAGGACTAAGGAGTCGGTATCTGGGAAGAATGCAAGAATTTACCATCCACCCTTCTACTGTGATGGTAATCACGATACAATAGATTACTTTCAAGTTGTGCTTGACCAAGAGTCTTGACCATTTGAACGTCGAATTATTATTCTTCCACTTTTTTTCTAACACATGAAAGTTCTGACAGTGAAACACGGCCATGCGCCTTTATCAAGGTCGCATGAAAGGTGTGGCAAAATTCATGACGTTCCCTTGCTTACATCGTTAAAAGTGATAGCGCAATGGTGACATTTTCAGAATAATAGCCCGTGTAAGCTGTCTTTACCTAGGTAGGAAAAGTCAGGTTTTTTGTCATCCCTCTGTGGATATGGCTCTCCAGGGTAAAAAAAAGGGTTGTGAGAAACGTCTTTCTCCCTTATGAAGCAGAGATATCTTTACTTTCAACTTTGATCGATAATTAAAAATATATATATATGTCTTTTACATGGAAAAAAAATGTAACTTTCTTTTTTGAAACATTTTACGAATTTATGGTGTTTCAACTTATGGGTCTCCCTGCTGACATTATGGTTCATATTTTACAATAGTATAATGGAAGTTTTGCTTTTCAGACTATTCAATTTCAATTTTTGACCCATTCAATATAAGATTTTATTGCACTATCCGGAATGATTTCAAGTAATAATTTTTTATAACAACCTTCAACTATTGGATATGCAAACCCAGTCACAGTTGTAGAGGCTAGGTACTTATTATTCTCTCTTAATTACTTTGGAGTGACAACCACCAAAGAGGTGGATTCAATTCAGGTATGCTAAATGATAAAAGATAACTATTGCGAGGTGAAATGCGTCCATAATAGTTAGAGGGTGTTTTTTTTGCAGTGAGACAAGGATCTTTTAATAGAGAAATATTTAAAAGTAGGAAAACAATGCCTGTATGTGCGGAAGAAGACAGTGCTAAATACAAGTCTATACTGAGCAACATACTGATGTGAAGCTTGACCTCGTACCAATTCTTGTTCACATGGTCCAAAAGACTATGATGAATTAATGAATTATTCTGTGGTGTCTGTCTATTCTTCTGTCAAGATTTCTTTAAACCAATGCCATCTCTAAAAAAGGCGACCACTTGTCAGTTTGCGTGTTTGCATTTCGTCCACCGGAAGTACACTTGCAAAGTTAATCTGTTGTAAAATGAAATCAGTGAGGTTTATTTTTGTTTTTTAACATTATTGAAATATGGTAAAGAGGTCTTCTATATTGTCAACTCAGATAATTCTGGGATTTTTTTTATTTTGACAGATGGTAAAGCTTCACGATTTGCCGGCTACCGTCTGTATGTTTCAAATACTACAAGTGACGATAATGTGACAAATAATGGCGTCCTTTGCTACGAAGACCAGAGTAGTACAGAGGCGGAGGTCCGGTTGGTGGTGACACACTATTGTCCTTACGTTGCCAAATATGTGACAGTCTACAACTTTAGGAACAACCCCCTTCGGTACAATTGGTATAATGAAAACGAAGCCTTCCTGGAACTTTGTGAGGTTCAAGTATTCGGTAAGATTATTCATACCTACATGTACTTTAATTTAGATCAAACATGTCTATTATCAATTCAATATTGCTTGAACGTAACAAAATTAAAGGCATATACCGCTCGATTAACTTGGTCAGGGCATACCTGACATAAAAACTGTCGGCGAAAGTTTCATGCCACTATACCATGAAAAGCAAAGTTCATCAAGTGCGTTAAGGAGATCAAATACACACTTTCCAATAAAACATATTTATTAAATAAAATTATCCAACAATCTGATGAACTTCGGTATTCGCTTATTCTACACCAACTCGGATAAATCACGATTACACGGTCTTTGCTTCGATCTCACTTTGTAATTAAACTCAGAAAATTATTTTATTTTTTTTCAAAAATGTACATAAAGTGCAATAAATTCAGAATTACGATGTCCGCTTACAGTAAAATAGAACCTATAACCAAAGTAATAATAAAAAGGAATGTAAACCACATAATGGAATTGAACAGTGTACCTTAAATTTAACCATGCTTGTAGAAGAAAGAACTATACCAAATAATCAGTGTATTATGATGAAAAACGAAATCCTTACAATGATTTAACACATTGAAGAACGTTGTGCATCGTGATCATTGAACCATGGAATGTGTGTAAAATAAGCAGAATTGATAAAAAAGCATGAGATGTAATCTCAAAAAATATAAGGTATCCAAGTAGGATGCTTTACTAATATCTTGTGCAGGTTCCTACAAGATCAAATTAGCAACAAAAACAGAAAACAAAAATTTAATTCAAATATAATGCTTGAAGTATAGGAAAAACCCAATCTGGAAGTACTCAACATAAACCATCAAATGAACACATTGCTTAAAACGAATTTACATGCGGATGTCATCGATGAAGCTTACCCTTCCTACAAATCAGGTCTTATGCTCCTTTTACTTTTCAAGGGTCTCCCTGTTAATCGTTCCTGTTTTCATATTACGCCCTAATTATATCGATGTTCAGTTCAAAGTATGGTTTTGTTGACACTTTGGTATTCCCTTGTCTTTTTAATCATGATTTTTGTAAGATACAGCAGGTCTGTTCCACGTGTTTCTATAGATACAGCAGGTCTGTTACACGTGTTTTTATAGATACAGCAAGTCTGTTTCACATGCTTTTTGTAATACAGCAGGTCTGTAATACATGATTTTGTGAGATACAGTCAGTCTGATACACATACATGATTTAGTGAAACAGCAGGTCTGTTACACGTGTTTTTGAATAGAGGAGGTCTGTTTCACATGATTTTGTGATATACAGCAGGTCGTCTACACTTGTTTTGTGAGATACAGGAGGTCTGTTACACGTGTTTTTGTGTCACAGAACAGTTCTGTTACTCCTGATCAAGACGTACAATTTACACCTAACAATTGTTTTTTTTAACGTGAACTATTGGTTTATGCATGGTCTGTATTCATTTCAAATGACTGTTTGTTGCTAATGCAGGTTGTCCTGTGGGAACATTTGGAAACGGCGATTGCAACGAGGATTGTTCGGGTTGCAACGGAGGAATTTGTAACTCTACCAGTGGTATTTGTCGTTGTAAGTTTCACCAGATCTATTCAAATATTCTGTTCACATGTCTGTATGTAACTGTTTTAAAGGATAATTCAGGGATCAGCTTTTCCGTCTCCCTTTATCTAATTATGATTGGCCAACTCATAAAAAAAGGAAAACCATTTCAACAAAACCTATGTATAATCGGTACATAGCTTTTTGCACACCTGCTATTTATATTGTGGTCTTAAGAGTTAACGCTCTTTTGTACTTGTGATTTCAAACTGTGTCCAGACTTTTTTTTAAAAATTATGTGACCTATTGCAATCAAACATTTCAAGTATGACACATAGGAGATTGACTTTTCATCAAATGACAAACTGTTAAATTATTGGATCGTAAATTGTTTCAACAGCCGCAACCGTTACAACTAGAATTTTATAAGGCTAACGTTCAAGTGACACGTCTGGGTTATACTCTTTAAAAAATAAGCAAACGTTTAAACGTTTAAATGTAAAGATAAACGGCCGGGACTTTGGCCTCTGATTGACTGATAATTTCAATAGGTGGCATCCGTGCTCTCTGATTGATTGAGAATTAATCACTTCAATAGTCTAGACGAAATAGGCGGTGGTGGGGGATCTAGGAGATATAGTATACATGTGGATAAAAAGGTCTAGCTTGAATACAATCACCTTTGTTCCTTGTACTTAAGGTTTGTAGATTTATATGTTTTCAAGAAAGAATAAGAACATCCAGTTGGATGTCTGTTAGCAGTTTGTGTCGTATAATACTGGTATTTTACACGTCCGTGCCACATGATCCTCACTATAATGGTCAGTCTAAGTACATCCATACATACGATAATCCCATGTATCTATATAGTGTGACTAAATCTGTAATACCTAATACATTGTTTAACTGCATTAATATATCATAAAGGTGCCTCTTGATAGGGAAGGTTAAAAAACATCTAAAATTAAATATATAATTCAGTCCTTTAGTCAGAGGCATTGTTACAATTGGGAATTTAACATTGATATTTCCAGATGGTTGTAACCCTGGAAGACATGGTAGCTCATGTGACAAATGTACAGCTACCTGTAAGCAGAATAAGTGTAATGCAGAAACAGGCTATTGTCAAGGTAAGTAACATACCTTCTGAAGTGACCATTTGATGTTGTCGCTGTGATAATTAAAACACAAGCCGATGTCTTAAATATGTTGCTTGGTAAAGACGTTGGACAAAGTCTATTGTCGCCATCAGGAGTGTATCAGGGAATATGCTATTTCATTATGCGTTTAAAAGTTCGTTTTTTTAGTATACATGTACTCATTAGTCTGCTTGTTTGTTCCATTTCCACCACTCCATATCTCACTTTTAGGACGTGACATTACCTAGATTTGACATAGATTGTAATGGCCGCTGTCGTCAAAGAGCGAAGCACAAGACGCTTAAGCGCTTTTCATGAAAACCTGGTCATATTTTGTCTTGTAATAAAACACATTAAATTTATTTATTTCTGATAACGATTGTATAAAAATAGTGAATAATGAAAGTGAAACACAGTGCTTCGCAAACATGTGGCTACAAACTTACAACAAGGAAGTATCATTCGAGAAATACATTGCAGGAGCCAGTATCGTAATTTTGGCACCTTATTCCAATAATTTCACGCTTGACAGTACGACTGGTTAAATATCAGCTTTGTAATCTAATGAATATGCTTCCACAGAAAGCAACAGTCTACAAAAACAACAACATGATCTACATTTGTACCTTTACTTCATATCTGTAACTTAACAGAAAAAATACTTTATGTATGTAACGAAACAAGACGAATTCGAGGAAAAATGGTTACAAGTAAAAAATATTTCTGTAATGAAATTCTCAAAATGAGTTCAAATAATTTAACCATAAGAACCGTACAGCCTACAGTCAATACATTGCGCTGGTAGTTTCATTCGAAATTAGGAGACAAAGGTTGGCAATGGAAGTGACCTCGACCTACTTAAACTGGTATTGAAAATGGGCTGTTCCGATATTGAAGGTCACTGGGGTCAAATGTGCCAAAAAGTTTAAATGATTTCTTCAGAATAGTCCATAGGCCAAGGGTGATAATACTTGGCCAGTAGAATTCTGAGATGAAAACCAAGTTATTTTAAACAAATGACCTTGACCAACTTTCTAGTTCATATACAGTAAAATATGTAAATGTTCTTCTAAATAGACAAAGGGCACAAAAAGATGATATTTGGCCAGTGGCTTGATCGGATTAAGAACTACCAAATGTGTTCTGTTGAATGACATTGTTACACTTTAAAGGTCACTTGGGTCAAATGAGTGTAAATAACCCTTAAGAGGTTATTTTGAAAAGCAAAACTCAGATGTAAAGTTATTCTATCTGAAGCATTTCAGTATATTGAACTGTTTAAAGTAACAGTCTGAAATTAAAATTAGATGAGCAATGCAGGCCCATTGTGTTACTTTTCTATTTTCAGAATGCGAGACTGGTTACTACGCTGATTTTTGTGACAGAAAATGTTCCACTGGATGTACAGACAGCATGTGTGACCGGATCAATGGTCACTGTACAGGTTCGTAACATAATTATCATGACTGAGACCATGTGGTAATATTGACTTACATCAGAAAAATAAATCTTTTAACCCTGAAAAATCAGAAAAATTTGAATAGTTTTTACTCAGACTATAGGATCGCGAAGCCGTCAACGTGGTATCAAGTGTTTTATATGTGAAATAAAAATACACTATTTTCTTATATGAGGCGGTGGTCCTGGCAATTATCATAACGATTCCATATTCTAATGTAGTCATTAAATTTATCCTATTTCGACATTTTCGGGCATTGAAAGGGGAGCAAAATGTATTCATATATGTCAAAATGTCAGCACCATGGCCTCTGATTGACTGATAAATTCAATAGGTGGCTTCTATGCTCTCTGATTGACAGAGAAATAAAACACTTCAGTAGTCTAAATGCGTCTCGGTGAAGACGTCAGACAAAGTTTATTGTCGCCATCAGGACAGAATTAGGAAATATGCTATTTCATTGTGTGTTTAAAAGGTCGTTTTTTAGTATACATGTACAGATTAATCTGCTTGTTTGTTCCATTTCCACCACTCCACATTTCACATTTAGGACGTGACATTACCTGGTTTTGACATAGATTGTAATGGCCGCTGTCGTCAAAGAGCTAAGCACAAGACGCTTGCTTTTCATGAAATCCTGGTCATATTTTTCTTGTACGTTTTCAATGGTCTCTTTGTTAATCTTCCCTTCGTTCGTATGTCTCCTAAGTGTTTTCTTTTTTGAGTTTGAATTAAAGTTTTATTATCTCCTTGGTATTTGTTTTAGTCAAATTTCTAAAAAAGGTATGCTTAAACACTATGCGGAAGAACGTGTAGAAATAAATGTAACACATATATTATTCTTTTTCTATTGCCTTGCATTAAGGTGTTTTCTCCTGTTAAGGTGCTTTAAGCTTTGAAGCGAATGTGAGACTTCTAAAACGTCAATGCTCAGCAATTATGCGACAAAGTCAATAATCAACGTACTGTTACTTCTTGGTCAAAATCGGTTCTTATAGCAGTAATATGTTTATACCTTGATAGTACATGTACCAATAATTTTAATAATTTCGTTAGAGTGTTCAAGTCTGACATCATCCGGTATTAATAATATACATGTATCTACTTACCTCATATGACTTACATATGAATCCGCACTAAGATTGTTTAATATAACAAATATAATACTGATTGGAGACTGGAGATTTGTTTGTCACAATGAATTCTGCAAAATGCAGAACTGAACATTTGTTTTTAGAAATTTCATCTTTTGTTTGATTATTTAAGTCTTTCATAAGGATCTTTTGCAACAATCAAGGAATTTTCTTTCGGTCAATATTGCTTTCTCATGCTCGTGTGAGCACAAAATCTCCTCATCCAGGATAATGATATATGTGTTTGACAATAATGTTAAATGTGTAATCTGTATCATTCCTTCTTGGGGAATAAAGATAAATGAATGAAATGTATGTTCTATGTAGTAAGTCATTTTGCTACAATGATATGACATGAAATAATTATGTTTACAGAGTGTATTCCTGATTATCATGGAAATACATGTGATCAGGAATGCTCGACGAATTGCAAAGATAGACAATGTTTGATAAATGTTTTTTTGTGATACATTATGGAAGTCAATGTCTATGCATAAGAAAAGTAAGATAAAACACACTAAATATATTTATTTTTGATAACGGTTGTATAAAAATAGTGAATAATGAAAGTGAAACAAAATGCTACGCAAACATGTGGCTAAAAACTTTCAACAAGGAAGTATCACTCCATGAGCCAGTATCGTATTTTTGGCGACTTATTCAATTAGGTTCACGCTTGACAATATGGCTGGCTGAATAATCAGAGATTAAAACTAGTAACGGGGCAGGACAAGAATACATATACTCGACCCTGAAATTCAGAAACTGTCACGGTAACAATCGTATCTACCAGTTCAATGGTAGTTTGCTGTCCATGCCGCAATACAGAAAAATCTTAAACACAAAAACGGGGTTTTCATACGTATAAAAAGCTGCATTGAAATTTTTAAGTGTTTTGCTTGCAATGGAACTGAGATCCCGAATAAACCTGACTGCATCGTGTTGCAGTAATATATAACGTTATCAAGACGCGACCATATGAAAGTACTATATTATACAAACTATATACACTTTTTCCAAACCATGGAGTTTTCATTTCTGTTCAAGACACGCTTAATACAATAATATATTCCTAAAATGTTAAATCATCAATGTATTTTCAGATGTTTCTCTTCAATTATGAAGAACTTGAAACTGGTTTCACGGTACCTTGTCAAACCTCGCATTTAATTCACCCATTATTGAATACAGATATAAGCAAATTGTATCGTTACAGGTTGTAAGCCAGGTGTACATGGCGAGAACTGTGCAAAAGCGTGTCCAACCAACTGCAAGACCAACACATGCAATGAAGATACTGGACATTGCTCAGGTATTGTAAAGATATTTTATTCAAAAAATACTTTCACCTGGTCAGATCTCTTTAACCCCATTATCAGACGATGCATTCTGTGATAGGATAAATCATGATAGGATATTTTTTTCCTGATACAATTCACCATTTCGAAATGGTTTATCTCTAACTCTACATGCTTAGAAGATTTTGTCGCTAAAAGGTAATTCGTTCAGTCTCAGTAGACAAAATATGTTATATCCTGTAATAGTATTGGAGGTATCGGTTCATTGTCACATTATATATGAATATTTCCTTTAGATATTAATAGACTGGAGCATATATGTTTCTCGGATATATGTAATTTCCATTCGCGATCACCTGCACTAGCTTTGCCGACAGTTTTAATCTCGATCTAATTTATAGCCCTGAGGTTGAAGTTTATCGATCAACAGTACACATTGTATTAGGAAATGTTTCTCACATCCCATTTTAAGAAATGAGGAACGTCTTAATATTGATTGAAAAATGATTCTTGTGGCAGCTTTCCGGCTTAACGCGACGACATCTGATAGTAGAGCATTGCGTCAAGATTATGTCCTTATTGTAACCCCCGTATAATGATTAATCGCAAACAGCGACACAAGTAAAAACGAGCACTTACTTATTTATTTAATGGATTTAAAAGAATGTAGTCAGTTTTACTTACCTGCTCAAATGTTCGATTTTGCCCAGGCGCGTCGTCTGTTGTCGGCCCGTCGTCCGTCAACTTTTCCTTTTAACAGGTTTTCCAAACAAATTAGAAGGCAATGAGTCATAGCTACATTGATTGTATTCCGATATAGTTTGCAAAAAAACAAAAAAATGACCTTTACCTACTTTCAAGGTCATAATGGTCAAACTTGTCAAAACCTTTAAACGCCTCCTTTTGTTAAACTGAATGCCTAGAGTAGAACTTTTTAAGTTGAAGCGTCATTGGATGAGGCCCAACAAAACAACATCGATACGCCTCCAACGCCACAGGGGTCAAATGTCAAAATTGTAAACAACTTATTCATAAGAACCAAACGGTCAAAAGGTCAAGGGCGATAATATTTAGCCAGTAGCATACTGAAAAGAAGGGCTATTACGTTTGTTTAACCGAATGACCTCGGCCAATTTTCTGTGTCATAGAATCAAATATGTTTAAGTTTTTCTCAATAGCCAAATGGCACAGGATGATGATATTTGGTCAGTGACTTACTTGATTTAAGAACTACCAAGTATGTTCAGATGCATAATGTGTTATTCTTTCAATGTCACTGGGGTCAAATAAGTAAAAGTCTTGAGACAGTTTTTTTTAATAGCAAAGGTCATAAGAAAAGATAGCAATATAAAGCATACACGTACACCTATATATTGAACTTTTTAATGTTATCAGTCTGAAATTAAGATTAGGTGAGTAGTGCAGGCTAAGTAGGCTTTGTTCTGTTTTCAGAATGCGAGGCTGGTTACTACGCTGACCATTGTGACAGAGAATGTTCCCCTGGATGTAAAGACAACATATGTGACCAGAGCAATGGTCAATGTGGAGGTGCGTAACATATTCATCACGACTGTTGTCACTTGCGAACTGGCATATATATGTAGCAGTCATCTTGCAACATGTTTGTAGCAATAATATGTTTCAGATTATAGGAGGCATTTTCTTAAGGGTTATGTAAGATTTAGCATATTCAAAGTCAAAAGTTGGGTTATATTGCCTTGCTTGTAAGTTTTTTGCGGACACATCCGGTCGCCGACCAAGATTATTGGTTACAGAACCATTCAATAAATGGAAAGACGCAACTATCGATTTGAAAAAGCATGCTCAGACTGGTTATCACGCTGACTCGATGGTTAGATTGAACGGGTTCGAGAAATCGTGTGTCAATCAGTCGCTCAGAATCGACGTCAATCTGGAATCGAATAATGCAGCAATCATCGCTAAGAACCGCGATATAATCAGATCTATGCTTGAATGTTTAGAGTTCTGTGGTAGGCGTGGAATGGCGCTTAGGGGACATCGGGATGATGATGCAGGCCATAGTAAGAACAAGGGTAATTTCAAAGAACTTATTCAATTTAGAATAGAAGCGGGCGATACAACCCTAGAACAACATTTTGAAACGAGTTCAAAAGTAGCAACCTACACATCACACACTTCTCAGAACGAGTTGTTAACTTGCATTAAGACATACATTCAGAAATCTATTGTGGAAGAAGTGAAGTCCCAGCCTTTTGGTGGATACTATGGAATCCAATGCGACGAGGTATCAGACACTAGCAATTGGGAACAATTAGGACTG